TCAAGGGGGTCGTTTGACCATACTTCACCACGCTAGCCAACGCGGGTTGGTGAAGCTGGGGGGTCCAGGACCGGTACAGATATCGCCTGCCACTGATGTTAGCCTTGGCCCTATAATCAAACTCATCGTGCAGTGTGCTAACCACCACTTCACTCTGTATGTTTTGAATACGATGTATGGTACATATATAGATATACACACATCAGTTAGAATATACACATCACACATATGAACATCAACATATCGGCTCTTTAAAAAAATGGTTCATACGAAAGCCTTCAATAAATGTGATGCTTACTTAAATTGCACATGTTTAAATTTTTTCATAATTATTACTGCTCATTTACAAACGACAATTATCAATAAGAAATGTTTTTGCTTCCAGTGTCACGTGTAATATTTACAATGTCACAGCCTAATCTGTTTTTTTTGTACGTGGGTGTGTGTTTCCAAAAAGTATAATGAAGAGGGGTGATTTTCGTTGCTATTTATAATGTTTTCAATTTTTACACAAGCCACTTCATGATCCACATATTTGATCCCAGACGAGAAATGTTTATTTACAAGGGAAATATTTGTAAATGGCTCATTGTTATTCGTCAAGACCATCATAAGGCAAATGTTAAGGCAAACAATGCTAGGAAGCTTAAGAATTTTCATTAGGATAAAAACCAACATAGAACCACTGAACTGCAGTGAAAAGCAATGATTGAAAGTATCAGATGCAATGCCAGTACGATCAACAAAAAAACATGAAAATATAAATACATGAGAGACATTCTCAATCCGCCAATGGATGAAGGCCTCCCCGTGCCATGTGAGTCACGTGATTTTTAACCATACTTCACCAAGCCAGTCAGTACGGGTTGAAGCACTGGTTCTGATATTACTCATGTTAGCCATCGCTGGGAATCAACCTCAGTTCGCCAGGTTCACAGCACAGCGCGCTAACCACTGCACCACGGCTCCCTCCCCAGTTGAACTGGAGTGTAAATTGCACTGTGGGTGCAACCACAGCCGCGCTTTTATAAGTCGCTTGCAAATGTGTTGACGCTATCTTCATTTAGCCGATCAAGTCCACACGAGCCGCATGAGTATTTGTTTTGTATCTAAAGCTATCAAATTGTAGAACACATTTCTATCACAATCAGTGGAGTTAGTTTAGCCGTTTTTTTTATCTGCATTTCTAACGTATTTCCATACAAACACGTTGCCAATTCTCTACCACCAATCAGCCGCCATTCACTATCAGCTACCAATCGCAATTTAAACATCAGGTAAAAATTACCAACACAGACATTCGTTAAACATCTCTCGAGGGTCTGTCGAATAGAATGAGTCTGAGCACTAACTTGTCACCAGACATGCAGCCAGCTGAGATGATAACTTCGAAACCTTTTGGCCGAATACATCCTAAGAGCTGAGTCATACCAAAGGAAGTGCAAAAACGCATATTTATTCAATACAATCATCATATGCAGTGTTAACACCGCACAAACCTGTTTGCATGGTTGAATCACTGGTAGCTGACCAAGATTAAAACCCAGCAACGTGGCAATGCTTGCTAGGTGTTATGCCACCCAATTACCTCGGTTGAAATACAAGACGAGCAATGAGTCTGGAAAGAAGCTATAGCTAAACAATGTTTCGTCAGTTTCAGGTGAGTCTATTGTGCGATTTAACAAGCAAATGGAACAAGAACATACAAGTGTGCAAATAAGCACGGACAATTACATTGAGACGCAAAAGAGGAACACGTGGATGAGAGCAATGATATCATTCAAACTGTTAGGACAAGAGAGTGGACTTGGGCACGGCACGTCACTGGAAGGGACAATGATCGGTGGTTCAGAATAGCAACGCAGTGGCAACTAAGAATGGAATGCATCTGAGAGATTATCCACCAAACAGATGTCCAGCAAACAGATGGCACGATGAAATCAGCTCGTGTGCAGGTGCTAGGTGGATTATGAAATCGCAGGATCACGAGAAATTGAGGTGGCTTGAGGAGACTTTCATTCGGCAGTGGATCGATCATGGGGCCTGATGGTGGTGATTAGTGTACAAGATGTTCTCAAGTAAAGAAGAGCGAATCGAGATTACATGTCTTCATGGCAAAGGAAGCACGAGGAAAACAGCAGAGACATTTGACAGGAATCATCCCGATCCTGACATAATTACCATCGGTGTGGTGGTGGTGGTGGTAATTAATTCAGCTAACAAGTCCTGGGAAATAGGCGCCATTGTCAACAGATCAAGAGGTCGACACCACTAGAAGCTGACAACAAAACGAGACATTTACAGCTGCAGCGTGGGCCACGTTCTCACTAAGCCCGACAAACGGCCGCCATGAGGGTGTCCCGATCATACACGAGAGCAGCGAGCGTTCACCCGCGGCAGCTGGCGGGCCACATTTTTGGTGAGGCTGCAACAATTGGGGCTGGAAGGGTTTGATGGGGGGGGGGGGGGCAGTTGTTAATTTGCATATTGAATATGTTTATGCACGAGGCTTTGGAAACTGGGGATTTGTTATTGGCCCGTGGGCTTTTTATTTGTGCCCCATTCTCTTCATGTTGACCCTGGTGGGAGTGATTGTAAGTTATCAAATGAGATCCTGAGACGTCTCGTCCTATTCCAATTGAAATGACAACACTACGAAAAAATAAATAGTCAACTTGATTAAGTTACACACGTTTTGAACGGTTTAAATGTTTCAGAAATTATTTTAAAATGTATCTATTAAACTTTTTTTTTTAAAGGGGCTTATTAGGTGGCAGGTCGACCCCAATGTCCCACAGCCACGGGCGTCCACAAGTCATGATGCGCATTGAAGAGGCACGCGGTTTACCACGTAGGCTTTCCCGACCAATATCTATAAATAAAGGGTACTTTTATTTGGGCAGGGGGGGGGGGGGTTATATCGCGTAAATAGCCACCATCCGACACAGCCACAATGCTTAAGGGTTGTCACGTGCACAAAACGAGCCCAATGAGTTACGACTTCAGCAACACCGGCGTGTCGGAGAGTAAGCCCACACAAACACGCGCGGGTTGATTCCCCGACTCCTCCCGCTCGCAGAGCGGGTCGCTCAAACCAAAAAGTGCCACTTCGTGACACGTGAAGAATGACACCGACTCGCTTCCGCCACACATACACGCACGGTCACAAAGACAAAGATACACGCACACTGACACGCACACACACGAAGACAAAGACCCCCCGTATAGCCTGAACAGACTGTTGTTGCAAGAGCTGTTCGCGAGCAGCTATGAAGAAGGCCAGCACCACAGGTGTGGGGGTGGGGTGGAAGTTGGACTTCTTTCGCACGTCCAATTAGCACGGACGCGGTTCCGATTAGCACGGTTGGCTACGTACGGTGCGAAAGAAGTAACAGCATACAGTAGATACTTGCCCCAAAAGTCTAATGAGGCTATACGGGGTTGGGGGAGGGGGCTCTTTTATCTTGACACACACAAACCCTCCAATACACACACACCATCCAATGTACACGCACACACACACTCCAATATACACACACACCCTTCAATACACACACACCCACATCCCTTAATAAAGTTTTCCAAAATCGAAACACCCACGCACGCATACAACCACGTGCACACACACGTACACAGCCTTAAATACACTTACACATACGCACGTGCGTGCCGCACACACACACACAACCCTTACACATATTGACGCATACAGTACTTGCGTGCACAAAGACAAAGGTTTAGCCTTAACAGGCGCTGTTCACGAGCACCTCATGAAGGCCGGCACGGCACACGAGGAGGGGGGGGGGGGTGCTGGGTGGCCACCACCACGCCCGGCCACCTTTGTCTCCCTGGTGGCGATATTTACGCATCGCCACCAGGTGATCATTTGAGGCTGAGTCGACCCAGGGGAGGCCCAGGACCGCTTTAGATAATCGTTGCTGCTTGTTGGCCGTGAGCGGGAATCGAACTCGGGTGGCCGGGTTCGTAGCGCAGCGCCGCTAACCGCTACACGACGGCTCCCCACACGGCCGTATGCAGTCATGTAGTCACACACACAAACAATGTGCAGTCTCTTTATATCTACAACGCAAGTATAAACACACCGGCACGCACAAAGGTTTACGCTGACAGAGGGGTGACGCACAGCAATCGTGACCCCCAACCGGCAGGCTGATGCCTCTCTTGAACACCAGAGTCATCTTGGTCTCTTGAGTGTCCACCTGGTTAAACAGGACACACTCGAACTTGTAGAACACGCATTGTTTCCCACACGCAACGCGTTCCGATTTGTTTCGTAGACCATAGGGCCAACAAGCGCTTGTCAGCGAACACCGATTCTTGAGGTGGATGCGGCCAGAGACACACCAGGCAGCACGTCTCCACAATGCCGACGTTTACACACCGCACTAGGTACTCGTTTAAGGCTGACCCGACCTAGGAGTGATGGTGTGGAGGAGGAGGTGGTAGGGGGTGCAGAGCCATTTCAGGCCACCGATGTCATCCGTGGCGGGAGGTCGAACGCAAGTCGTGCCAGGTTCGTGGCGCAGTGAACACATTCAGCAGCAGGAGGTCCAGGTCAGGCCCAGGTGACCCCTCCAGGTGACCCCCTCCAGGTGACCACACCAAGTGACCCCTCCAGGTGACCCCTACAGGTGACCCCCTCCAGGTGACCCCCTCCAGGTGACCACACCAAGTGACCCCTCCAGGTGACCCCCTCCAGGTGACCACACCAAGTGACCCCTTCAGGTGACCCCTACAGGTGACCCCCTCCAGGTGACCCCCTCCAGGTGACCACACCACGTGACCCCTCCAGGTGACCCCCTCCAGGTGACCACACCAAGTGACCCCTCCAGGTGACCCCTACAGGTGACCCCCTCCAGGTGACCCCCTCCAGGTGACCACACCACGTTACCCCTCCAGGTGACCCCTACAGGTGACCACACCAAGTGACCCCTCCAGGTGACCCCTACAGGTGACCCCTCCAGGTGACCCCCTCCAGGTGACCACACCACGTTACCCCTCCAGGTGACCCCCTCCAGGTGACCACACCAAGTGACCCCTTCAGGTGACCCCTCCACGTGACCACACCTGAATCTTGCTACAGCCCGCAGCACGTTTGGGCGAACCCCGAGTCAAGGAGGAGCGCGCTTCGCCCGATCCTCTCGAGGCGCCACCTCTCAACGATGAGGTCCTCGAGACACTGGAAGCTCTGCGTGGTCGCGACGCCGTCGCCCAGGTGCGTCTTGAGCAGGTACGGGGTCTTTCCGATGCGCAGCTCCAGCCCGGACTTGAACTGCCTCTTGCCGTACCTGCACCACGCCGCGAAGCACTCCGAGTTCCTCCACGACGCGCCGTGCGCCTGCTGCCGCCCTTCATCTTCGTCGCCGCCGCCGTTCACCATCACCGCCTCCTGCTGCTGCTGCTGTTGCTGCTGCAGCAGCACCTGGTCCAGCGCCCTGCGCACCACCGTCTCGGCCGACTGCGCCTTGAAGCGGTACCAGTCGCTCACGACGCGACCCCTCCGCCCGGCGCTCAGCACGGCCACGGGGTCGTTGCGAACCTCGGCGTGGTGCAGATAGACGGCGCGACCGTCACCCGTGCTCACCGCCCAGTGCGTGCAGCTGCTGCCGCCGCCGCCGCCGCCGCCCGGCGCCGTGAACTCGAGCAGGTCTCCGGCCACGCTGGCCTGGAGGAGACGCGCGGGCGTCAGGAAGGGCGAGGGAGCGGCTGCTGCGGCGGCGGCGGCGGAGGAGGAGGACGCGTTGCGGAAGATGCACTCGCCCGCGCAGTAGGCGGCGAAGTGCAGCTCCTCGCGCAGGACGTGCTCCTCGTAGTCGTAGGCGCGCGCCGGGGATGAAGCCTCCGCATGCGCTCGCGTCTCGCTCGTCACCTCCTCCTCCTCGTCGCCGTTGTGGAGCTGGCGGACGTCGAGCGACGAGGCGGTGTTCGTGTCGGAGTCGACGCACGCGGAGCCGTTTTCGCTGTCCGGGTAAGAGGGGTCGCTTAGCGGGACCTCGTCGTAGCGGTGGTGAGCGAGGCGGTCGATTTGGTTTCCCATTAAAATTGTGAAGCCACCCACCCCCCACCTCCTCCTACTCCGTCCCCCTCCCGCAACCTACTTAACCCCTCTACCACCACCACCACCACGGCCCCTACTTCTTGAGAGTGCAGTGATTAGTACTGTCGAGTACGTGATGGATCCGTTCACGGTCTAGGGCAGAGTGTCCCTCGCTCGTTCGCGCATCGCGGCGGGAACCATTGACAATTTGGCGCTGCGATGGCGATCGCGCGCGAACGCCGCGCGAGCCTTTGTCCGTGTGCGGTCACGATTCAAAACGCCGAGGTCGAGCCGCAAATCGGACGCGGTCCGCGCGCCGCGATCGGTTACAAGTTACCAACACCGCGCCTGGAGAGGTGTGGGTGGGAGGGTGGTGGTGGTGGTGGGTGGTGGTGGGTGGAGGTTCACGCAACGCGCTCGTAGGTGGCGACGTGGAGCGCGTGCCCACGCCGACTCCCGAGTCGCGCCGCACGCGACTTCATCTGCTGCTCATCAAAGTTGCTGCAGCTGCCGCAGGATCCTTTCCATGGCACCCACCTCCAGGCCCTCCATCACCGCCCTCAAGCCCTCTCCGATGGAGAGCGCGCCTCTTGCTCGCGCGTCTGCAGATGGCGATGACACTTGTTGCCATCGCGCCGGGCAGCGCGTTAGTGCCTCGGCGCGCGGTGTCGCGTGGAGAGGCTGCGGAGAGCCACGCCTCCATGGCACCACCCCCCCCCTCTCCTCCCCTTTCTTCTTCTTCCCTCGCCACCATCAACCACCACAGCCTCCTCTCACACCCACTCACACCACACACACATACACCTACCTACTCCCCCCCGTAACCACTTTTTGGTCACGTCCATTCACCCACTCAGCACACACACACACCTACACTCACCACCCGCCTTCCCATCTACTCAACCACTCTCTCCCTCACTCACCGCACACACAGAACTACCACTACCACCACCTCAATTCACATCCACGCTTTCACTCACCACACACACACACCTACCCCTACCATCGGCACCTCAATTGACATCCATTCACCCACTCACCCAAGACAAAGATCCCTCGTGTAGCCTTAACAGACTTTGGGGTAAGTGCTGTTAGCGAGCACCTATGAAGGCCGGCACGGCACACGAGGGGGTGGGTGACCAACACCACGCCCGGCCTTTGTTTCCCCAGTGGCGATGTTTACACACCATACACCAGGTACTCATTTGAGGCTGAGTCGACCTAGAGGAGGCCCATGACTGGTTCAGATAATCCATCATAATCGTCACTGGTGTTGGCTGTGAATGGGAATCGAATTCGATTTGCCGCAAACGTAGCACAGTGTGGTAACCACTACAATTTCCTTCCCCCCACGATCATGTCCACATACCCTCACCCACTGACCCCTTTCTGGCAACACCGACTCCCCCCATGTACCATAGTTGCCAAGTGAAAGGCACCTTTGGGTGTAAGACGGGACTCACGCGAATATTTTCCGGGTGACCGATAAGATTGCTGGAGAAGTTGATGAAAAAAAATGTATAGGCTTTATCCTCTCCGCCAAGAATACAGGAGGTGTTAAGATGTTCCTACGCCAAAAAGACACCCGTCACAAAGTCTGCATTAACCACACATGCGTGTGGTTAAATACCTTTAAACTCATCTGCCTACACCAGAGACAGATTCCTTTATGACTTTTTATCACCGGCGTTAGACTAAAGAACGCCGAAAGGTCAACAGCACAAAGGCAATTCAAATATCAAAGCATTCATAGCTGGGGTCGGGCAGTTACATCTCGTTTTTATGCCAGTATCAAGATGATGCAAACAAAAGGTAGGCTTTACCCTTTCCGACAAGAATACAGGAGGTGTTAAGATTTACAAACACCAACATAGACACCTTGATCCTGCCAAAAAGTGTCCCAGAGATTTGATGTATGTAGAGGTGAAGCGAATTTGTTATTCAATAGTGATCAAAACTTAATGAAAACGCAGGCGGTGGGGTCCATTCGTAACGGAGTGACTTCAACAATGTTAATATTATTTTTTGCTCAAACGAGCGTTGCGGTGGTACGTACTCATCTCCTTGTTTACAGCCCCTGAGCCAGTGGTGAAAATTCCGCAATCATATATTGATGGTCTATGTGTAGGACACACGTTGTTGTCTTCCCCATATGTAATACGGAACGTACAGTGCTGTTGCCATAAACATAATAATAACAACGCTTGTGATCAGATCTCCCGGAATGCATCTGATGGTGACGTCAGATCTCGGTGGGCCTAACAGAGCAGAGCCTGGATAGGACATCAATGGGCAATCACCACGCATGGAACATGTGTTATCTAAACAGAGAGCAGCAGTGCTGCAAAATCCATTGTTCTTTTATGCTCCTAGCCTTCACCAACCCACATTCACGAGCGCGGTGAAGTATGCTCAAACAGGCCCCCCGTGACCGACACGGCACGGGGAGGGTGTTCATCCAGCAACGGATTGACAAAAGACTGAACATTATTTCACAATTTAATATACACCAAGCATAAACCCGCGAAGGCCACACTTAATCTCAAGGAAATAAAAAAAAATTTCAGCAGGGTCCTGCATTTGGATTGTTTGGCCAATACCATTGAGTGTCGAGCATTGAGTGTGGTGAAAGCCCACCGCCCGTATGAGTGGATGGGTGGCACCTTAAGAGCACATAGTCACCTTAAGATGTTTTCTTGTTCATGTTTTTGTTTGTTTGTTTGTTGCGGTTGCACCCGATTCAAGAGCCGAATGGCTCACAGGGCTATACCTAATAAATGAAACTTGAAACTCTCCTCCTGCGATATCTCGTGTGCCACCTTGCAAACCCCACGTCTAACAACGCGCTGTGCTGTATTCATTCTCGTGTGGCAGCCTCCCCATCCAGGCGCTGACCAGGCTCAAGCCCCACGCTTGGCGTTTGGTGGTACATGTTGTTTATGCCATTTATTGTGAAAATTCCGTCACAGTTCCTATGATCACTGTTTCATTACTTTCATGGCTTTATTTTGGTGATTTTGAAAAGTGTATTGGTTTAGCCATGTTTGTTTGTTGTAGTACAGAGTTAGACTGATGGCCTTAATCTAAGTTGTCTTCTGGTTGTTGTTGGTTGTTTGGCTTGCATCCCACTGGGATTTTTGCACACAGCGTTGGTGTACGGTGCTTTTTTCTGCAATATTTTGCTGTCTTTTCTTGGATTTTTGTTTGCACTTAGTCACATATTCACTTTAAGATATTTTTGTTCATGTTTTTTGTTTGTTGCGGTTGCACCTGATTCAAGAGCCGAATGGCTCACAGGGCTATACCTAATAAATTAACTTGAACTTGGCTCTGCGAGGTATGCAGACAGACGCATTCTGGCCGAATTTTATTTGGAAGGCCACGAGTTTGCGTCAAATGTCGAGCCCTCCACGTGTGAATACTGGACATCAGAATGGTCCTTTATACATTTGTTTTCATGGTTTAGCTGAAGATTCGTTGTCTGACGATGCTAATCGCATTTGTATGTGACTCAGGCACAAAGGCAACCTCAAGGCTATGTCTTGTAATTGCTTTATCACAACACTAACAGCGTGCACAAAATGCATTATGCGTCCGTCATCTGGGATTGTACCATGGCCTTTTTGTCAGTCCACTGCTGGATGAGCCGCCCCCCCCCCCACCACATCCCCGCGCCCCCCCCTCCCCACGCCGTGCGGGTTGTCGGGTGACGTTTGACCATATTTCACCACTTCGGGGTGTTTTGGCGAAGTGGTGGGGGGTGGTGGTGAGGGGGGGGGGGGCTACCAGGACCACCTGTTTAGGTAGCACTCGTCACCGGTGCTGCTCGTCGCCGGGTAATCGATATCGTGTTTCCAAAGGTTCATGTTGTGCGATGCGGTTAAGCCCGGCCTCTCTGTCACACTGCACACACTTGCGCGTGCCCGTCCCGTGTAATTTCGGCTTCGCCCGTTGTCGCGATTACAGCAAAGCGGCCGAGTGAACGATGTCACGGCTTACGCGTGACTCACTCGCGTGCTGTGGCTTTCTCCGCGTTCGGTGTGGAATAGCGAGCGCATCGATTCGTCACTTTGTAGCCATCGGTGCGTCATTCCGGGAATGCTGTTCCGGGAGTTATTTTTGGCACGCTACCCACGGACATCTCGCCTAATTGAAGTCGTGCAGTTCCATTGATACACCTGTGAATGGTATTAGAGCAATATAGGTGTACAATAATATTTTGACAATTGTGAATATTTATCATTTGTTCTCGTGGTCGTGGCTTACACCCCATAGCCCCCCCCCCCCCCCTGCTCCATGCCAAACCCAGCAGCTTTCAGGAAGAAAACGCAGAGAGCCATGACTATAATAATGAAACAATAATTTGCGTCGTTGTGGAGATTGTTTTATGTTGAGGGACGCGTACACGAGTCGATGCTTTAGTATAGATCACTGCATTCTCTGTCGTCTGGGCTCACCGTGGTGCAGTGCAGAATCCGGAAACCATCGGTCAACGCTGGCTGCAGGCCACATCAGTGGCGAGTGATACCTGCACCGGTCCTTGGCTCGCCCACTCCCCCCTTCCACAGAGCGTGGTGAAGTTGGTCAAACCCTCCCCCCACCCCCCCCCCCCCCATGGGCGACACGGCGTGGGGATGCCTTCATCCAGCAGTGGATTGGCAGAGGGTGGGAACATGCGTGGTGTGCGTTGACTTTGCGCGGCCACTGCTGCCGCTAGACGCCGCTAGCTTCACCGCTGTGTTTCAAAATAGTTCATTCTTGAATGTGGACTTCAGGAAAGTTACAAATATCGATTTCGTGCCACACGGGAATCGTTCTTAAGAAGGCATCGGACCAAACATTACCAAAGTGGGTTTAAAGGTAAAGGTGCAGCCCTGCAATGGCTTGCTCACGCCACTGTTTGTCGAAGGGCCTCCACTAGAGGGCGCTGTAGAGAGCCCCTATCGAGGGTATCTTTGGCCTACTCTTCCACTCTGGCCAAACGCTCAGGAAGCGGTGGG